GACCCGTGGGTCCAGCGCATTCATCGGGATACTGGCCATCGCCGATTCGTTGGCAAGAGAAGTGATGGATATACAACTTGCAGAGAAGCTATACCAGCACCATCATCATCATCACCATCACCATCACCATCATCATCAGAGATGTTGGAAAGGACATGGGCTTGAGTGACGCTAAGGGTTCAAAGGTATGAGCATCTTCCGCAAGAGGAGCATAGCAGCGCTAACTCATTACAGAGGGCCTCTTGCTGGAGCTTTAGCAAGGGCACTTGAAGCTGCTGCGGAGGGGTGTGACGAAGGTTTTAAGTTTTGGGAGATGGGGCACAGGTGCTTCGTGAGACTTGCCGTGACTCTGTGTCACTTCATTCGGGATCAAGCCAACTCTGGAAATGTTCTTTAGTTTCTTTCCAATATGTCGCAGCGCTCAGAACTAGGCGCAGGATCCGCGTCTCAGAGCACTCTACAACGAAGCCAGCCACCTCTGCGGCAGACCAAGGTCTTCAAACTTCTGAAAGATGCTGTGCCCCGGACAGAGGGCATGCTGATGCTTGACAGAGCAGCACTCTTGCGCGGTGTTGGCCAGCTTTCAGGGATGTGTGATGCAGCAGGTGAGTGCCAGATGTTCGGCTAGCAGACCCTTTGCTCGCTCGGATGCTTGATGCCCCAACAAAACTTCAGAAGCCCCGATGCGATCGAAAGCCATAAGCAGGTTTAAAGCACACCCCCTCCCCAATCGACTCGGATCGGTTGTCTGCATCAAGCTGATCGACGAGCTGACGGGACAAAGGGACACAAACCCGGACTCTTGCATGGTCATCTTCTACACTGAATGGGCAAGGCTAAAGCAGACTCCGTATGTTCCCTGCCGTATAGATGGGTTGGGTTGAGGCCACGGCAGGTCATGAGGTTGAAACAAGCAGCCAAGGAAGAGGTCCAGCACAGTGTGGCACCTTCTCGACGGGTCTTTCGCCAGAATGAAGGAAATCCATGTTTCATTTTCGCAGATCTTTCTTGTCACTGTCGGAATCTTTAGGTAAGAGAATTGGGCGCTCCCAGGGTGCTGGTTCATAGCAATCTCCTCGTTCAAGCCGCTTGCGGTTTTTGATTTACTCGCCGAAGTCCCAAACCTTGAGAAACACAACTTGAAGAGAGCTACCCGCAACGGAGGCTGATGCAGGCCCTGAGCGACCCCGATCTGATGCAGAAGCGCATGGAGTACATTGCTTTGTGCCCGGCTGAGGTTGAGTTCACAGAGTATGAAAATTGCAGAAGAGCGGATGATTGCAAGATTCAGTACCGAAATGAGGCATTCCACATGCAGCCTTGTCTGCACGAATTGTGTGAGAGGCGCCACATGAATGCGGACATCACGACGGCTGATGTCGAGGTCATTTGGACATAGTTGTCGTTTCATGCAGGAGCAGTGGGCATACATGACAGTAGATCAGATCTGCCAAAGCGGCTTAATCAATGCTGCTCACCCTGCTAGCAGGCAACGAACATGTGGCAACATGCTGCAGTCATGTTGGCTCCGAGACATGTGCCGGGATTTAGTCCAGCACTACTCTACGAGGCTCTTCAACTCTTTACTATTGGCCGTCATACTTGAGAAACCCGAAGCGATGCTGCGCTGTTTCACATCCCAGACTCGATCTGCCATAGGTCTTCAAGGGCATCCTCCTGGAAGTTTGTGCGAAGAAGCTGGGTGGGCTGATGACTCCAGAGTTTCAGCCGCTTGAACGACAGCTAATCGATGGGTGGGATCAGGGATAGTGTATTTTCATCATGTGCAGGGAACACTGTGCAGTCTTGTGTCCCGAAGCCAAGTGTGCCAAAGGAACACTTCATGTAGAGGCGGGGGGTTCGAAGCCTACTTGCCTGCGGTGGACGCCGGAGTCTGATAGGGCCAGTGACCGGCTGCTTCTGAATTCGGCCTCTGTTCAAGCAGACAGGTTCGGCCTTGGCCAGATCGTGACTGCCGTGGGCATCTCATTGGCGAACACGCACGCGCGCCTGGGCGTGGTTGGATTTGGTGTTCTTGCGGAGGTTTGGTTGTGGGGTAGAAGACAGTTGAACGCCAGGAGGGTGGTTGATGCAGGTTAGTGCTCAATCCTGCAAGGTTTTTCGCTTCAAGATCATTTGGGATGACCCGGCGTCCGAGCAAGGGTTTGGGTTCAAGCTCAGGAAGAGCCTCAGAAGTAGCCACTCCGTTCCCAGAGGCACTATGCGCAGCGGCTTCGGCTTCTAACTGGCTGCTGGAAGGAGGCTGCGGCAATTAAGGTTAAGGCTAAGGCTCAAAAGCGAGGGGGGACTCCCCTTGTGCACGTCATTCTTTTTTCCATTTCTCGGGATGCTACTGCCATTCGACCGAGCAGGTCAATGCTACCGAAGACGATGCGGCAGAGGATCCGCAAGATCGAAGAGCTGCCGCCAGCCGCATGAAACCACGGTGACAAACGTAATCGGTTTTTGCACTCAGGGCTTGCAATGCCTTGGTCAAGGACCCGGCTTGGGATCTGTTGATGGGGCCTTTCGTCAGGAGCAAGAGGAGAAACCTCAAGACTCCGATTCCCCGGACGAGGCCCTTGGTGGGAGATCATGTTTGCTGAAGTGCATGGGAGCGACGGGATCGTCCGGTTTTCTTGGGAGTCGGACCCGTCTCGCCTGTTCCTTTTGTGCAAGTCGTCAATGTTGAGCGTTGTCAGGGCATTCAGCTGTGTCAGCAGCTCCACGCTATCTTCATACCTGAAGTTTGCAGAGGCCTCCCCCATCGAGCACGCGGAAAAGAAAGATCACGACCTTAGTTCCATGGAGAAGGGCGAGGAGGCCTGAGGTAAGTTGCAGATACGGGTTGGGACTTGGAGTTGGAGCTCGTGATGTTCCCGCGCGTTGATGCCGGTGCATATTCCGAATTCCTGTGTTCATTATACCCTGGTGACAATGGCGATTTTTCGCACAGGGCAGCAGGTCTTGGAAGAAGGTAGTTTTCGCGGGGTCGAAGGGTCACAAGTTGTAACCAGTCGCAACGACTGATGGTCTGATAGGAGAGAGAGAGAGAGAGAGAGCAGTCCTAGTGTCCTTTAGCTTCCTAATGGTCCAACCAGCAAGGCATCAGAGTCTTACGGAGACTGGGCAGTCCACTGGGGAGTTGTTCCTGGCCTGGCGAGTACGGGGCATGACCCGTCCTCGGGAGTCTGACCCGTCCTCGGGAGTCTTGGACAGGATCGTCACACAAAGTGGAATGACAACGGCAACATGAACATTCCAAAGACCTTTGCAGCGATGGCACGTTCCCTGGTACTTGGATTCTGTCTGTTGGGTTGGCTGTAGGTGCAAGTGCGACAGGAGTTGTTCAAGTTGAGTTGCTTGGAGCAGATCGATTGAATTTTGCTTTGCCCAGGCTCGTTGTCTGCGCAGCCTGTCCTACAAATCTGAGACCCCAGCAGAAACTTTGTGAGCACTTGCGACTTGTTGTCCATGACTGGACCATTCACCTTGACCTGCACCTGCTCCAAACGAGCTGAGAATGAAACTTGCAGAGGACATCAACATGGGTAATGCGCTGCACATTAAGCCAAGCGCCATGCTGTCAAATTTGCATGCTTGCTCGTTTCAGCCTATCGGGAGACAACCCAATGAGACGCACAGGCCAACGCAGAGGTTTGAGTCTAGGACTGGCTTTGATACTGTGGGGTTTGGATTCCAGGTGTTGCTGCTGAGATGGCCTCGTGATGCTGCAATTGTAAGAGCTGTCTGTTTCATGCCCTCCTCGGCCCGTGACTGTACTGCTTGTGGTATTCGACAGGCCTTCAGAGTCTATCAACAGCCCTACCCAGGTTTCAATGCTTCGGTGATGGGTATTGGTGACCGCAGTTCGGCAGCAACTGGGAAGTTGGCAGTTGGGGATCCCTCTGCAGTACTGACCACACAGAAGCAGTACTATGGTTGTTCGCCTTTTTGGGCACAGCTTTGCTGAGTTGCAGCTGGTTTTGGCTGGGCCACATCGAGGGCCCGCCCTCAAGCTGGGGGTGCGGCCAGATTTTGGGAACAGAGCAGCACCAGCAGCACCACCAGCAGCACCACCGCCGCCGCCGCCGCTACCACCTTTAGTGCTATCAGTGGCCATGCCGCCAAAGGTCATGATTTTGATCATGATTATCACCACCCATCGTCATCATCATCAGCATCATCTTCACCAGTCCCTTTATTTAGCTCAAGACTGAAGCACCACACAGGGCAGAAGAAGGAAAACATGATCTTGAGGCCGTGGACCACGGCCCCCGGAGGAGGAGAGGAGGGGAGAGAAAGAGTGACAGGCCGCAAGGACCGAGGGCTCCAGGTAATGACTAGTAGAACTACGCATGCTGTTACGGCACCCGATAGCTTCTGCTTTTTCGAGCTTTCGTCTCCCTGTCCTGGGCATGCTTGTTAGCTTATCCAGAGTGATCATGGTTTCAGTATTTCAGTGATTTCAGTGAACAGTGGCTGAATGAATGCCCAGGTTCCATGTTCCCAAATCCGAACAGCCCGCGCGAGCAAGTGCCGGAAGCAAGCCAAGATGCTCTCAGACTGTCAGAGGCATGTGGTTTGCTGATCTCCTCTACTCCATGGAGTCCCTGGTGCCCCACATTGGCAATGTCGACCGCGTCCAGGAATGGGGTTCGGGGTTTACGGCTGCAAGGGTTGAGGGTTTCGGGTGCTGAGATGTTGAGCAGTTGACTTGGACCGATGATGTTTCCTCGTTTAGCTGTTCAGGAGGAATGTGACGTCCTCGCATTGACATTGGCCCACTACGACAAGGTCGGGCTTGCAACAAGAAAAGGCCTCTAACAGGCTGGATTGCAATGATTAGGTTTTCAGCAGGAGAAGGCCGGGGCAGTGGGAGCCGATAATATAGGTTTGCTGTATTGGTCCAACACAGCATTACATCTTTACCAAGCAACCCCATCCCGCAGACCCTGAAAAACGGGGAAATGCTCATGCCTTGCAGGTGAATCTCGGTGAGTTCCGGTCCGTGATGTTTGCAAGCCTGAGGCTGCTACCTGAGAAGAGGGTAGGGGATCATGGTGGAGGGTTTTTGGGGCCGCTAGTTAGGAAGAGATTGTCGGCGTCTTGCCGAGCAGGATTCAAGAGGAGTTAACTAGGTCTTCATCGCGGTCCCAAAAGGTCGCTCTTGCCGACAGCCTGGAGCCTCGATCACGAGAATGCTTGGTCCTGGTTCTGGACCTGCGTGGAGAAGAAGGCCACGCCGGTGCGAATCAAGAGCGAATCGGGGAAGACTGTACCGACTTTGCCAGAGGACCTTTGCCTGTTACATACTCGTCTGAACTCTGCCGCCATAGCTTGGCACAGTGGGGGGTGTCTGTCAGGTGGAACTGATCCGGCAGCTCCCGGTGCGAAATCAGCAGTGCCTGACGCTTCCCTGAAGCAGCATCGCATCAAAGCTTTGTAGCTCTGTCCTTGAGTCGCTGGGAGCTTTTGTTTATGTCTTCGAACTGAGGAGAACATTTCTCTCTCGAATGGACGAGGTGGGACAGCATCACCCCAGCTCCCAGCATGTCCAACCTGAGACCATACGTACACACACGAAGATGATGCACAAGCCACGTATTTTTCGCCTTCCTTGCCGGACTATGCCAAACCTGTCTTGGGTTTGCATCCCGTGCCTGAGAGGATGCCTTGGCCACGTTCAAGCTGAAGGTCTTTGATACCTTCTTCGCAAGTTGCGAGGAGACTCAGAGTGCTCGGTTTCAGCTCACATTGACATGTCCCGAGCCATCCGATGCATGCGCCGCTTTGAATCGTCGTGAAGTACTGGGAAGCTTGAGTCTGGGAAGTCTGAGTTAGGCCGTTTTTCTTGTGCAGAACGTCATGGCTAAGCGACTCTCTTGTCGACACTGCGTTGAGTGTCGTGTGGTGGAACTTCCAACGTTAACATCGCAAGCTGGTGCACGGAGGAGTCTCAGCTCTACTTGCGTGCTGCCAACAAGCGCCTCCAGTACATCATGGGACGGACTCGCGGACTGAGAATTCCAGAGCTCGGGCCCAGTCTCTCTGTTATTTTGGAGACCCCACTGCTGTCATAAAAAGGTCGAAATGCAACAGCCCTTCTCGTTGCACTGTCTAGAGTCCGCAACAACTCCGGTCACTCTGATTCGGGGCTCTGTTCGGAATCAACTTCTTGTTGGGAGGCAAAGACAGGGCTGTTCCTCTTGAGTGGACCAGGGCACCCTTTCAGCGGACTCCGGTGTGCTGGCATCTGCAGCTCACATCTGCTCAAAATAAGGATCTTGACCATCATGTCCGACGTCTACACAAAGACTCACAAGGCCTTTGGAAATCTTGCAAAATTCCTGCCTCTGGATGTGCGGCATGCCTAGGGCTTCTAGGATTCTATGCTGACTGGCAGCAGCAACTTAGTGGAAGCTTATGCAGACTGTAGATCCCTGCGGCCTTGGCCCTAGGGTGGAGACTTGAGAGTGAAGCGCATGTCTCCAACATCCGCCAGCGAAAGTTTCAATTCCTTTACGCGTTCTGACTTCAGTGTGAAAGGCAGTCATTGCCATCTCTGCCTTGGGCCTTCTGCATGCGGGCCATGGGGTGCCAGAGGAGCGCCCTACTCGCGAAGGGTGTGAGGTAAGGCTGGACTGACATTGACATGCCTGTTGGGCCGACTCGGGAAGCTTGGGGTGCAGCCGGAGTAGGCACCAGCATGATTCCTCTATGACAGGACTTAGTGCGCCCCTTTGTCCAAGCTTTCATGCCGCTCGGCCGCGGTATACCTTGAGACGTCTGAAAAGCAGCCACGGGCTTTGCAGCGGCATGGTAATCCTGAAGCCTTGACGATTGAAGGCTGAGGCACTCTTCCTATCCTAAGTTTTGCTTTGCAGTCTGTGTGCATATGGACATGGATAATCATTTCACAGCGAAGCGCTCCGTCTTCGTGTTGAGGTGCTCCATCAAAGAGGCTGTTCCAGACGAGTCCATCCACGATGGGCTCTGGTGGACACTGGACCTGATCGGAAGGACTGGGATTCAAGCACAGCAGTGCCAAGACGACGACCGTCTGAGTAGAGCTGTGCTAAGTCCTCACCCCCAGCTGTGCCCTCAATTTCAACTCTCTCGCAGAATCTTCATTCGGACATTATCAGAGGGCTCCACTCCAGTGATCATCGCCATCAACAAGAACAACACCAAGGACGGAATTCAGGGACACGGACAGCATACAGGATAAAGGAGCTGGATTGGATTCCGAAGGTCAGTTGTCAGGTTGAAGGTTGTATCGAGATGAATGTGATTTGATGACCGTTGTTCAAGTGTATGTTCCATTCCGAGAGCTTCTGCTTCGGTGTACCTATCTGCTTCCTTCCAACTAGTGACGAACTGGATTGGTTGTGAGATGTTGGAAGATGGCTCGGGAAAGGTGCTGAATACAGCCGTCTCCAACGCGCCTCGTGGGCAGCGCGAAGTCATTTTGTTGCGGGTCCAGGCTGGTCATGGGACGTTAGGCTCCGACCCTGTGAGCCCGGGCGGTCTGTGGCTTCTCTGGCTCTGATCGGTCGCTAGCTGCCAGTCGTTGAAGGGTTTGAAATGTAAGAGTGCCGAAGGAAGCTGTTAACAAGTGTACCCAATAGCAACGATGTAAGAGATGGACGGGGAAACGTTGAGGATGGTTGTCCGCCGGCGGACGAAGGAACTCTCCCCCTCCGTCGTCAGCTGAAGTCTTTGTCCAAGTGAGACCTTTTTAGCAAGAGACCCCCGACATGGCCCCTTTTTTTCAGTTATCTTGCAGTTATCAGAACCCCAAACCTTTAATCCCTAAACCCTAAACCCCTAAATCCCTATGCCCAAAACCCCAAAACCCCTAATGACAAAAGCTTGCTTTCGGAGGTGGGTACGGAGTCCATGTCGCCGTTGGTCTGGGCCGTGGAGAAGGCGCTGGGCTTCGGGAGCTCCCCTTTTCATGCGGAAGCAAGGCTTGCGAGGCCTCCTTCTTTTTTTCACATGTGGTGGAGGCTTTTGTAGTTTGGATAAAAATTGGGATTGGAGTTGAAGGCCATGGAGAGTTCGTGATTGTGCTGTGCAACCTTGTCGTTTGTCGGCGAGAAGAGGCCCAGACCCACGTGTTACAGCGGAGTGGAAATGAAGCCCAGACTAGGAACGATTCTGGTGTGAACTCACCTCAGCACCACGACTTGTCTCGGGCTGCTTCTCAGGGTGCTCTGGAATCCGCTGGCGCGATTCTCAAGGCGATCGAGCGAGGGAAGAGTACAGAGATACAGTATCAATCCGAGCATGCAGATGCTTCCGTCATGTTGGTGACTGATATCTCCCCAATCTAGCTGCAAAGCATGCTTGCAACCCTACGGAAACCACTCACTAGACCAAAACTCCTTTCAACTCCGTTTCATCGCTTGCCCCTCCTGAACCTGCCCATCCGAAGCTGTGACTTGCAACAATGCCGCGGTGTTTTGTAATGTCCCAATCCCAATCCGCCCCAACCCTCCCCTTCATTCAGGACCTGCTCACGATGCGGGCGGATCGCGGACGCTACTACTACGGCATGGCGGCTCAGTCCCAACGGTAGAGCTTGACGGTGCTGAAGCATTCAACAACGTGAACTCTTGGAGTGAGTGGGTTTGTAGATCCAGGTTTGCTTTTTGATCCCTCACTCAATGTGTCTGCTCCTAGGAGGCGATCTTCAGTCGCCATCCAGTAACTCGGCGATGTTTGGATTAGAATTAAGGAGTGCTGTTCCCTGGTAATGCCAGCTGCATGTTGATGTTTAGAGACATACGTTCCATTGCATGTACTTGTCTCTGCTGCAGTCTTGCTGGGCTTCTTGCTTGCTTAGCAGCCTGGCAGCAGCCTCCTGGAGCCTCAGGACATCATTCCCCTGCTTTGCAACAAGGCCCCTGCTGAATGCCATGTCTTGTTCATAGAACACTAGCTTGTTTTGAGAATTTCAAGAGATTTCGGCAAAAGACAGCTGCCTTCTTTGCTTGGGCCTGCAGTGTGACGGATGGTGCAGGCCCCATCGCTTCTGGTGACATTGCTGGATGAGCTCATTTGGCGTTCCAAGAACGTGAGACAAGGCCGGGCCAAGAGGCGGCAGAGCGAGGGAAGGCCAGTGGTGAGATGGAAACGTCACTGGAAGGGAACAAACAGCCTTCGACGGCAAGACAAGCAAGAAGAGACTATGCTCCCTGCATTGGTTTGCGAAGCAAGACGTGCACTGGCCGACTTTGAGGGGGATTCGCGACCGGGGCCGGATAAAGACGACAGAGTGACCATGTTCCGATGCTGAGGAGAATCCTCATGGTGTCCGCATGTGCTGTGAGGGATGATGAGGGATGAACGAGTTTGGGGAGCCTTGTTTTGTTCGCGTTTAGTGCGAAGTCTTGAGACCAGGAGCGGAAGGCAGGAAACTGCCCTGAGCAGTGGTTCATCATCGCATGCGTTCTGTACGGCGCAGGCACCAACGACTCGGGTTACTGTTGAAGCTGCATGTCCCTGAGAGGCATGCGGCGTGTGAACTACTACATAAGCTCCATGCTGGTGGGCGATGAGGGCCAGCTGACGACTTCCCTCTTGGACTTGCTTCCCGTCACGAATCGCCCTGCAGTGTGAGGTTTCTGCGTTCGAGGGTTGCTGGACTCGGGACCAGAAACATCCGCGCACAAAGTCTGAACACGATCCCACTTTGGAAATCGGCCAAGTACATGCACATCGATTTTTTGTTTGGGATTGAGAATCTCGATAAGATTGGCCAGGGTTGCACGATACGTTTAAGCACGTTGGTTAGGACGGGCAATGAGCACCCTAAACCCTAAACTTGAACATAAACCGCGAAGGCTAAACCCTAAACCCCAAGTGGAACTCTCTTTCGACGCTTTTTGGGAAGCTAAGAATTAGATGCTCAGGATCAAGCATGGGGATCCCGAAATCGTCTGTCATCCTGCTGCCGTCTTCCAGGCACGTGAGGGTTGACATGCTCCTTGAGGGGTTGTTCCATGGGAGTCCCAAGAGACTTCTACCATCATATACCCACCCCCCCTCCCCCCC